CGACTATAGTTGCAAAGAAAAAATTAACGGCAATATAATACCAGAATAGCTGCCCCTGAAAAAAATGGACAGAAATAAATTGCTCGATATAATGTTAATAAACTGTTGTCAAAATCATTAAGAGAAATATTTGATTTGAATCTTCTACAGAAATATATTATCCAGAATGGCATTGCCATGGTTAAGAAAAACTTTGAAAATTTTACAGGATGGCAAGATGGCAGATGAAGATGATTTGCTACCCAATGGTTATAGAGTGATAAGAGAAGGAATGAACTATATGATCTATGCCATGGGGAGAATGAAATACCTTTGGGGTGAGGATGCTGAAGAATTCAGGCCTGAAAGATGGCTAGTGGATGGAATCTTTCAGCAAGAGAGCCCTTACAAGTTTATATCTTTCAATGTAAGTACTACTTGAGAAATAATCTCTGCACATGTTTATAAGGCCTATAATTTTATCCAGTGAGCATGTCCAACTCTGACAAATTTGGGTTAGCCAGGCACAGGCAAGAATATCACTATAAGTTGGTATTTGGTGAAAAACATATTAAAGTTGCATTGTCTCTATCACCTCGATTTTGTCGGACTTCATCTCTATGCGGTTACACCCGGCCGTTGTTACCAAATTGATCCTCCTAGCTTCGTTTGCCTAGGATCATGCCATGTATCTAGGTATCTTTGCTTGAAAATTAATAAAGCTAGAGCGACGGCACTCCCCAAAAAAAACTTAATTAACAACTCCTACATAATATCTCCAAATAAAGTCAATTGAAATGAGAGGGTATTTGTTTCCAGGGACTTTTTTGTGTAGGGACTAGAAAAAATTCCTCTTAGAGACTTTTTTATCAAACGGGGGGACTTTTTAGAGACTAAACTAGGCATTTGGGACTAAATGAAGAAGACTCTCAAGGAGAGTCTTTTTGGGACTTTTTGAAACTTTTCCAACAATGCCCTTTCATGCACCCATTGGCCCGCCATCCCATGGTGTTGTTTGATTGTTATTTTTCTATATACTAGGGGCAACATGGTCATTTAATAACCTTTAGGAAGGGACTAGGGACTTTTTAGTCTCTGGAAACAAACATGGGGAGACTTTTTGGGACTAGGAACTTTTTAGTTGACATTAGAAAAAGGAAAATGATTGGAGCCGGTGCGCCGGCCGAACTTTGCGCCGGCTCGCGGGCCACGCTGGCTCACACGAACACGCAAACAACCACCCCGCGTGAGACACGTGTATATGGTGGGTCCCGCACGACTTTTCCTCTTCTTCCACCTCCAGCCCATCCATCGCAGCTCTGCTCCTCCACACAGCCTTCCCAGGCTGCTCGCAACCTCCAGAAGCTCTCATCGGCGGCGAGTGCTCGCGTGCGACGGCGCGCAACACCGCCCCTCCTTCATGGCCGGCGAGCCCCTCTGCCATCCTTCTCCTTAATTTGTATCCCCGCTAGCTCCCCGCGGCCATGGCCGTCTACACCCCTCGGATCTCAGCCATGGCCTCCGCCCAACTACAACTTCGAGTCCCCGCCGGTGAAGCTACGAAAGCATCTATCGGGGTGCTGCAACCAGAGCTGTAAGCCTACAACCACAGGGCACACGCTGGACGGCGAGGACGGGGCGGCGCTGCTCCTAGCAAAAAACTAATGTCGCAATTTTTGCTAAATGCTTCAACCGGCATAACATTTTGCTACAACCGACATCACATTTTGCTACAACTGTCGTCACGTTTTGCTACAACACATAGCCGACGTCACAGTTTTGCTACAACTAGCGTCACTTTTTGCTACATCCGGCATCACGTTTTGCTGCATCCATCACGACCGAGTTATGACCCGCGACGGCGGCGATGACAATTTTGCGGCAAGCGTCGTAGTTTTTTGCTACAACCGACAACACGTTTTGCGACATCCATTCTTTTTCTAGAACGCAATGGCTGCTACGTGCAACGACGAGCTACAAACGGCGACGACGGTGACAGACTTTTTTGCTGCAACCGTTTTCCCCGTTTGCTACGACCGTGCAATAGAAAGCTGCAACGGGCGCCATGGGAGCCACATGCCAGCGGCAACGGCAAACGTCGAGCTGCAACCGGCGGCAACAAGAGCTGCATCTAGCGGAGCTGCAACCGGCGACTGGTGTTGCCGGAGCCACGGCCATCACCAGCGAGGAGGAGCTGCAACCCACAGGCGAAGTTTTTGCTGCATGCGTGGATCTGGACGGCGGCGACCGGCGGCGAGTGCGGCATCGAGCAGCACGGGAGTGGCGGAGAGAGGGGTTGTAGATGAGGGGGTAGCGGACGGCGGGCCAGGGGGCAGCCAGGCGACAGGGAGCCGCGCTCGCGCTGCGCGCGGAGAGGATGAAGGAGAGAGAGAAGTCAACGCACAGATCGGACGGTTGCTCGCTGGATCGGGTGGCTGGGGTTGGACCGGCCGAACCGTTTGGGCCGGTGCGCCGGCGCCTAACATCGCCTGGAAAAAGTTCTAAGACTAGAGAACCAAACACCACCTTGATTCTAGGGGGTCGGATCTGATCCAACCCGTGAGCACTTATGTAGCTTAAACTTAAGAAAAAAAACAAGATCCAATCTGGGATAAGTTATTAAATAGCTAGCTGCTTATCCAAAACATTATCTATGCATATAGTATGTATCAGTCCGGCTTCGCTCCATCCACCCCAGCGTGTAACCCCAAAGACCGTGTTGACCCAGCCAGCTGATCGAGCTCCTGTATGCAACCAATGGCGCCGTCGCCGTGGCTGCCGGAATTTGACCCGACAGACACGGTCGCCGGCCGTGCCTTTGTTGAGCGCCTCACCACCGACGCCGCGGCGCTCCAGCGAGAGCTCCTAACAGAGATCCTCAAGCAGAACGCCCACACCGAGTACCTCCGCCCCTTCCTCCTCCTCCCGGATGGCGGCTTGCCACCGGACGGCGACCTCCGGGAGGCCTTCAAGAAGCTTGTGCCTGTCTCCGGCTACGACGACATCAAGCCATATGTGCATCGAATCGCCTCAGGCCGAGAGCCGTCCACCAACCTCCTCTGCTCCGAGCCCATCACCCACCTCCTCAGAAGGTAAATTAAGCTGAGCCCGTGCGGCGCGGCCATCTCAATTCTCAAGTCTCAACATGTTTCTATGTCCATAATAGCTATAGCCTATATGTAAACTCAACTCGCCTGAATTTACAATTTGGGTCAGTTGATTTAAGGAAGAAGAACCATGCTCGCCGGAGGGAAGGAAGGAAGGAGCAGCCGCCGACAATCTATCTTAGAGTGGTAGGGTTGCAGGCTCGCCGGCGATCTATCTTAGGGGTGTGGGGGGGGATGGGGGGTGCAAGTTCGCCGGAAAAAGTTATGCTCATTTCCGGGGTTAGAGGGATGGCCAGACGATGCGGCAACACTAGGGTGGGCGGCGGTTCGGGAGAGGGCGGGCCAGCGAGGCTGGCCGCGGGTGGCTGTAGCACGCCGGTAGCAACAGGCAGCAGGAGGAAGAAGATGGAGGCGGCTGAGATCTGTTTTTGAGGAAGAAACGGTCGGAGGAAGAAGACGCACTCTGGCCGTTAGATCAAATCAAGGGCAGAGAATGATCGACTGACCCAAATTAAATTGCCACTCCCTTTTATGTCCCTTCCCTGCGTGTCATGGCGTGCAGCTCTTGCACGTCTGGTGGGAAGCAGAAGATCTTCCCGTCCACCGCGGAGGAACTCGACCGGAAGCTCTTCTTCTATGGCGTCCAGTCACTCGTGAGGAACATGTACGTGTAAGCACATATTGCATCGCTTGCTTGGTCCGGTAAGCAAAGTTTTAAATAGCGCGCTAAGCATCTTAGCGCCGGACCTCTTTCAAATGCTATAGCGTGCTATAGCGGAGCTATAGCGCGCTATTTAAAATGTTTGTTCATTTGTTTGGACCAAAATCTCTTAGCGCAAGACCTTTTGTAAATGATATAGCGTGCTATAGCGGAGCTATAGCGGGCTATTTGAAACAGTGCCGGTAAGTTTGGTGATCTCAACAAGATACTAATCAAGGTGGCGTTGTTTGATCAAGGCATCTGCATGCTGACCAGGAGGGCAAGCGCGGCATGGGGATGCGCCTCACCTTAACCTTCCCCGTCGAACACACGCCGTCCGGCCTTCACGTCCAGGCGGCCACCACCGCCTACTACCGCAGCAGCCAGTTCCGGGACCAGGAGGTGGGCGGGTTCGACCGGTGCACCAGCCCCATGGAGGCCATCCTCTGGCCGGACGCCGAGCAGAGCATGTACTGCCAGCTGCTCTGCGGCCTGCTCCACCGCGACTCCGTGGACCACGTCGGCACCTCCTTCGCCAACAGCCTCGTGCGAGCCATCAAGTTCCTGGAGCACAACTGGGAGGAGATGTGCTCCGACATCCGCACCGGCAGCCTCAGTGGCCGGATAACGCACGCACCCCTGCGTGACGCCGTCATCCAGCGATACCTACGAGGGCCCAATCCGGCACTGGCAGACGAGGTCGCGTCGGAGTGTGCTGCCAAGCCCTGGGACGGGATTGTCGCCAGGCTATGGCCGCGGGCACGGTGTGCCCTCACCATTGTCACCGGCTCGATGGCGCAGTACATTCCGATTCTCCGGAGCTACTGCGGTGGCCGGTTGCCGATCGTCTCACCCTGTTATGCGTCTACTGAGTGCGCCGCCGGAGTCAATCTAAGGCCTCTCGACCCACCCAGCCGTGCGTCGTATGCATTGCTTCCCAACATCGCCTACTTCGAGTTTGCCGAGATCCAGCCTCGTGATGAAGAAACTCCTACTGTTGATGACAATGGCAATCCGGGTGAGATGAAGTTTGTGGATCTTGTGGATGTCGAAATTGGTCGGTCCTATGAGCTGGTTGTCACCACCTTTGCAGGTAAGACCTCCTTGTTACTCATTATTACCTGCGAGATATACACTTTGCCCCCTCCATATATAAGTCTTGAAGTATCTTGATTTTTGTATATTGCCCTACTTCATTCGGTGTTTTATTTTTAAAATAGTCCTTTTTGCCGGGCATTGTCTTTGTAAAAGCAGACTTTACATAAGTTTCTAGTTCCAAGAATTAAAGAAAATATAAGTCAAATGTTCTTGCCATGTATTCCCGAGCTTGCAACCGGTCATTGTCTGCTTATACAGATAAATAATTCCAATAATAGTAATAATAATTGATGAAAAGTAATAGGAATTATTGTGTTTAGCCAGCTTGCGTAAGAATTATTTATTAGTTCAGTAGCTTTGATTTGATTTCATATATATCATGTGCAAACCATACCAGGTCTTTACAGGTACCGAGTTGGTGACCTTCTCACCGTGACTGGCTTCTACAACGCAACGCCATTGTTCCTCTTCTCGGGACGACATGATGTCATCTTAAGCATAGACCATGAGAAGATAAGCGAGGAGGAACTACTCAGGGCAATTTCACAGGCTATTGAGCTCCATCTTGGCCCTCTTGGGTACATGCTCAGTGGAAGCACCGCCTTTGCAGACATATCCAAGTTGCCAGGCCACTACGTCCTGTTCTGGGAGCTAACCAACGCAAGGAGTAATGGCGTGGTTGGCGACATCCCTGATCAAACTGTCATGGAGAATTGTTGCTCGACAGTTGAAGAATGCTTCGACCAAATGTACTGCAAAATCAGGCAGCGCGCGAACATCACCGCGCTCGAGATAAGGGTGCTTGAGCAGGGCGCGTACGACGCTCTGATGGACTTCTTCGTGTCTAGAGGCGCATCGCCGGGCCAGTATAAGACTCCAACGGCTATTCGGTCAAAAGAAGCGATGATGGTGTTGGAAGAGAGGGTGGTGGCAAGGTTCTTTAGCAAAGAAATTCCCCGTGGTTCTCTATATGATGATTACATGAAGAAATGATTGATGCCCTGATGGGTTGATTAGGAGACTAGTGTTCTACTTGTGTGTACACACATAGTAGTGTGTGCCAGTCCAAATCATGATCTCCACCAACTTGGATTTGGTTCTCTAGCAAAAATCGCTTGATGCAGAGATGAGAACATGTAATCCTGAAAATACCGAAACTAAATATGAAAAGAATGTCACGTCTTTTATCTTCTATTTTTCGCATAGTCTCCAACCATATTTATTGCATTTCCATGGGGATTAACACATATAGGTCCAGTCACTGCCTCGTGTGATGTCTTCTCTTCTGTTTGCTGGTACCTTGCAACTAAGTTAGTTAGTTCAAAAGATATGACAATGTTGTCCATTTCCATACCAAAATTAGCCCAGAAATTGGTCCAATACTGTCAAGTTGCCGTTCTAGTTAATTAGACGGTGTTTAAAAAAAAGTTAACTAGGACACAATATCCAATTTTGATGAACTCATGCCCACGGAACCAGCCATGTCACTGCCTTGCCTGTTAACTGATACAACAATGTTAATTACTCCCTCTGTAAATTTTTATAAGATCGTAGTGATCTAAACGATAATATAAAAGTTTACAAAGATAGTAGTTCTTAACATACAACAATGATCTGCATTAGAATTCGAGAATTAACCTAAAACACGGCAAATACACCGCAAATTATACGGGCATTGCTAGCCCGTACTGCGGGTCTGCACCCACATGTCGGCGACATACCCGTGTACCAAAAATTTTGTGAAGCAGAAGTTGAATATTGGTTTCCCTGCAACAGCAGTGTGACAATCAACTCTCATTCTCCAAACAATCTGGCCTATTAGAGAAACTCTAGAAGATCCTCTATATCCTCGTCGGCCCGTATAATTCCGACAGTTTTACAATTTTTCGCATTTTTGGGTACAAACAGGTCCACTAAAAATCCTCCTGCCAATATTTTTTTTACAGCAGCCAGCAAATCTCCCCGTCCGCCGCTATATGTACGGGCCGGGGGCGTTTTAGGATTCACATCTGGATAGCTCCGCCGCAATCCGTCCCCTCCACCATCTCCTTTCCTTTCTCCAGCGAGCAATTAGCCACGCTTTTCTTTTCATTTCTCCTGCATCCAAAGCCGGAGGTGCTCGTGGGCGTGGCGGCTATGGCAGGGTCGCCGCCGCGAAAGCTGCCCCGGCAAGACGGGGAGGCAGGCAGCTCCAGCTGGCGAGCTGGCGAGCTGTCGACATGTGAGCCTGTGACTGTCACCATCCCCAAAGTACCCAGGTATATGCCGCCGACATGTTAGTTGTGACTGTCACCATCCCCAAAGTAAAAAACAAGTAGCATATAAATCAGTTTGTGGATAACTCCATGCCAACCTATAAATTGCATTGTGGCAAACAAGCTAAATATCTTGTTCTCGGAGCCAGTGAAATGATTTTCGGTTTGTGTTTTTTTTCGTCCTTGGCCGAAATGGCCGAATTTCGGGAATTTCAAAAAATCCGGCAAAATCTCGGACGAAATTGTAAAATCAAAATTTGAAAATTTGGCCAAAATTTAACCGAAATTTGGCCGAAATTCGGCCGAAATTTGAACAAAACTTTAAATAAAATAGAGCAAAACATATCAGCACAACAACCATCAGGAGAGATCTTATAAACTTTAGCAAATAAGCTCTAGGGATTAAGAAAATTGAATCTGCCCAACATAACAGGCACATGTTAGCTATAATGTTGCCTCCAACATAACAGTTAACAATCCAACATAGCAGACACACATTAGTTATAAAATTGCCTCCAACATAACCCTTAACAGTCCAACATAACAGGCACACATTAGTTATAAAGTTGCCTCTGACATAAACCCTTAACCGTCCAGCATCAGTTCAACCATCACAGCATAGTTCAAAGTTTAAATAGTCCAGTACAGCCAAAAGACTTTAAAGCATTAAACATAGAAACATCTCCAAAAGACAACCATCAGCTTATTTGAAGCATCAGCTCCAAGCTTCCCAACATCCAAAAGCTTCTTGATATCCTTTGCTCACGTGCCATTTCTGGTTTGGAGAAAACAGAGGAAGGGTCATGATACAGAGTGCATACATCTAAGTAACTAGCAGTTCCAAGTAGCAACTAAAATACTGTGTTAAGTAGCAATTAGAACAACACTACTAAGTGATTGGTAGCAACTAGAACATCACTGGTATGTGATAAGTAGCAATTATAGCAACAATACAAGAAGATAAGTATCAATTACAGCAACACTACTAGGTGAGCAATTAGAACAGCAGTACTAATCATACACAGTGAGCATAAACATTAGAGCACGAGAACAATTGAAGATCAACCTACTTAAAGAAAGCAATATACATCAAGCTATTTAAAGATCAGCCGCTTTGAACATATACATCAAGCTAGATTTTTCTAAGTAACAAACCTGAATCAGAAACACCAAAAAGAAGAGACTTACCAAATTTACGAGTAGAGGCTGTTGACGTTCTTGGTCTTCTTCCTAATAAGTCGTCCAGATCTAGTCTCCAAATGGCCAGTGCTTGTTGGTGCCTCCTTTTGAACTTGTACTTGTGTCTCTTCTTCAAGTTGCATTTGTGTCTCTAGCTGATCTTGTTCACCATCCTCATCATCCTCACTCACCCCATCATCATCCTCGATGTCATTATCAACATATTCATTCTCTTCTTCATCATCCTCACTCTCAGTTTCAAGAAACTCATTCTCATCATCATCATTCCTCTTTCTTTTCTTGTTATTACCCTTTGAACCAACATAAGACGCCTTCCTGCTTGAGTTGAGGTGCCTTATTTGCTCAAAAACAGCACTAGCTGCATCAGCTCCATCCACAATCGGATCCTCTACATCCTCATTCAGCCACTCCATTATTGGGTTTGTTTCATCAAACAATCGGATCCTCTACATCCTCATTCAACCACTCCAATCGGAACTCAATACCCACTCTAGTGCGTTCCACCAAACATTACTAGACAAACACTCTTCAGCAAACACATACCCAGGCATTGAGAACATAAAACAACTATAGGACAGATCCAAGTATTCAAGAACAATATTGTAATAACATACGTAAAATGCATATATACCTAATGAGAACAAGGCATTGAGAACATAAAACAACTATAGGACAGATCCAAGTATTCAAGAACAATATTGTAATAACATATGTACATACCTAATTAGAACAAAGCAAATATTTTAAGAACATAAGACAATTGTAGGACAGATCCAATTATTCAAGAAGCAAGTAAAGTGCTAAGAAGAGAAGGAAGAAGTAACCTGAATTCTGAGTTTGTCCGGATGCATCAATGGTATTGAGGAAGAACATTCGTGCATTACAATACACCATGAAGTTTATGATGCTCATTCCTGTAGGACCAGTCCAAGAATCGCACATAAGAGTCACACCAAAGTTCTTCCAGTCTTGTTTGAATTTTTTAAGAAACGAATTAGCTTCATCATAGTTGGCCTCCAAATATGGCCCATCAATCTCCTTCGCGGTTGGTATAGGAATAGGCCCTAATTGTTGAGTGATCTTCACAGCAGCTCGAAAGTATGGGCAATCAGCTTTACGTCCAGCAATATCATTGGCATGAAAAAACTTGGACCAAGCTAGACCAAGTGCATCTCTTGAATTAGGATCCAAAGCACTACTGATCTTGGGCTGCATAGATACTTTGTTGCTAGATAATTGCCTGTCAAAATAGGCGCTGATACTCCTTTTACCAACAGAAACATGCACATCACCCACACCCCCCTTGCCAATTCTCCTTTCAATTCTGCGAGAGACATTCGGGTCACGCAATGCTTCTCTAATATTCATCTGAATTTCTTCTTCATCATCATCTGGTACGTTAACCACCCCTCCTTTTTTATACAACCCTTCCATAATATTTCTTTCAATTCTCAGCCTGCTATTTTGTTTCTCTTTTCTTCCTCCTTGATTCATCCCGGCACTCTCTCATTGCATCTCTCACATTTCTTGGCACATTGGGACAGCTCCTCACATTACCTACAATACCACCAAGGTGCTCCGCGACACGGGTTGCACCTCCACCTTTGTGCTTTAGGCTGCAGTACGTGCAATCAAAACCCCCATAATACGGCCATGCATGGTTCCAAGGATCATATAAGTTATTGTCTTTAAGTCCTGCATTGCAAGGTTACAAACATCAGTTTAATTGAACCTAGCAAATAAAGATCATGGTTCCAATAGCATCGTGTGACCAAGCAAAGCATAGTAATACCTTTCCAAGGTTTTTGGGAACCACTTCCATTTGCATCCTGGTCGCCGCTGCCACTCCTATTTGCAGTTCCATTACCTAAAAATCACATGACAAAAGAACGACGGTCAGTTATAAAGAGTAGACAGCTAAGAAAGCAAACCTTTCTTACTAGGGTGTCCTGATATGAATGAGGAACAAAAACAGTACAGACAGATTATCTAGTTTAGATACTAAGGAATAAATAATTTATATACAAGCTGATGCTCTAGTACCGCTGGACATTGAAATTAATCAGTGGTCAACAACTACTTAGTTAAATACACAAACACAACTGAAGTTTATATTGGACGCGTTGTAGATCTAAATAAATGATCGATTCAAACATGGGATGCTTCTGCAAATATACAAGCCAGTGGTTGGATGTGATAATAAAAGCTTTAATTTTGTGCACAAGCCACTGGTTGTAACCACTTTTCTATTACCAGATCGTGGGCAACCTTTCTGACTACCAAATGCACGTACGTTTCAGATTATATACCAAGTCAAAACATTGTCAGAATCCTTGGTGACTACAAGATGCATGTGTATTTCAGATTAATGATGCCACTACTCTGTTCAAATCATCAAGAGTGAGTTTTTCTTACCCCTGTATGATATTGCAGCCTCTCATTCATCTAAAGAAGCACAAGTACTGAAACTGCATCTACGTACTGAAACTGAAACTGCATCTACGTACTTGATTGAGATGTATACGCATCAAGAAAGCT